GAACTACGTCTCTGATTTACTGTGACAGACAGCAAAGTCTAAAGTCATTATATTATTTTATCTGGACGTTACAATTAGATGACCTGTTTGCACTCGACTGATCAAAATCAATGTCTAACCCAGTGGTAATCAATAGTGTATATTGAATTTAGTCACGTAAAATGAAAGACGAAAGCAGGACTGTTAAGTAGCCAAAGAAGCATACGAGGAGGATTTCCCATATTAGCAATTGAGGACAGAAAGGAAACTGAAGAAACACCGACTCGTAGAACTAATTTTTGGATTATTAATGCATATAGTCCTATTGTGTAGTTATTAATTAAAAATTATCAGGTTTACGTATTGATTTTATCATAAGCTTCCCACTATTATACAATTTATTGTTTTTATTTTGTTGCCAACTCATTATTTACTTCCTCCTCTAATCTCAGCTACTTTTTGGCTGACTCATCTATAATTGTTACTCTTTATTTATGGTTTGATGTGATCAAGTATGCCTGCATATAAACTGCGTATGTTTGAAATATATGGTTTGTATAACGGAGAAAGGTTATAGACTTCTGGGCTCATTGCGCTGGGTAGGGAGAGAATAATGGACCAACAGGAACTTAGTTGCTGATTACAAGCAGTTACCGCGAAATTGTGTTCCAACTGATAATTCTGTCATGTGGTCATGAGGTTAAGTTAACAATAACTATATGCATGACAATGTATCTTCATCTAGCTTAGTTGATAAAAAACCAATCAACTAGGCTAGGATCAAGTGCTGACCACCTGTTGAAACACTGATTTTTCGTCGCTTCGATCTGAGAGAAATTGAAATTTTCCTCAAGTATAAATGCGAACGTATATAAAACTGGCATTTTTGATGGGTTAAATGTAAAATCTGGCTCATTAACTTCTCTTTAATTAGTATCAAAATCTGTAATTTGTGTTGTTTATTACTCACTGTATAAACTTCGATGTCGTATTGATGAAACTTTATAACTTTTCATCTCACTGTTGTCTGCTTCATAATATTAAGGTGTATTACATATATAAATGTTATTACGAATACCAAGCACTTATAATTAAACATTCCATATAGTAGTAGTAATTATAACAATCCCTTCAAGCAATAGAATTCATTCAACAGCATACTTTATAGCAAAATGACTTTTGTGTTATTACTCGACTAGTAAATAACATAGATAAAAATTATAATTATGATAATTCTTCTTTGTGGCTAATATTTCTTATCGATTTATTGATTATTGAACCAAAATGGTATATCAACATCACAACAGACAAACACATAAGTCTAAATGAAATTTCGACGAGAAAAATAACGAACATACAATAAAATAAGTTCAGTTATACAAAAAAGGTTACGTAAATATATAAATAAATAAGAAAAACAAAGGACAATCACAAAATATAGTAGTTAACGGACAAAAATTACAATTCAACTCACAAATATCTAAACTGCACAACACTAATAATAAACAAATTGTAGGCATCTATTTCTTTGTTTCTATCCGTCACTATCTCAATGTGTGTAATGATTTGGATTAAAATTAATGTTTGGATAACTTCTGATTTTCACTTTGTGAATGCATAAACCGAAAATATGAATTTTTAATACTGCTGCCTAACTAGATCTTGACTTTTCTTTATATGTTTGTGTATTCCTCTCTTCATCTCTCTCTCTCTCTCACTGACATACACTCAGAGAAACTGATTTTTATTAACAGATAAAATCATGATGAAAAAACGAAATATTTTAAAAATAAGTAAAATTAAGAACACTATAAATTTAATCATGTTCACATTGAATAATTATACACAGTAGAAATATTCTCTTGTGTAGATAATGTTGTTGTTGCTTCGATTGTTAGTTAGCTATAGTGTTGATAGCGGTGATGTCGGATAAATGTAGTAATTTTGATCTGATCCATAGTAAATAAACGGTTCACTACAATAAGTTAACATATCTTCTCTTGTTTGTACAGTATGATTACTATTATTATCATTATTGTTTAAGGGATATTTTGAGCAGATTATATTTGATCGATAAGAGCTTGGTACACCGACGTAATATCGCATATTTTCATTAGTTATTCTTTCTGCATTGATCTCTTGTGGTAGGATGATTTTCGCATGATAATGTGGAAGTTTATTGAAGAAGTTCGTTGTTGTAGAATGATTATCATTAGCTGTTATATTATTAGTAGTATTATTAGCATTATTTTTATAAGCAGTGATACCATATGGAACTGAATAAAATCCTTGATTCTTATTTGTAAATAATGAAATTAAATACTCATTGACAGGGAAATAAGTGACAAGTTGTGGTAGATAATACATTTCATTGTTAAAATGACATGAGTCATGATGATGATGATGATGATTATGTGAGTTCTGATAATAATGATTACGATGAAAATGATTTTGACAAAATTGAGGATGAATGTGATGAGCACAGAAAGGACAACTATTCACAGATAATGTTTCCTGATTTGAGTATATAACTTTATGTCGAACTTGAATAGCATTTTCATTGTCCTCTATTATTTTTTGTATATAAGTTGAATGTTCAATATTTCTCTCTAAGTTATCGTTAGTTTTTACAGTTTCCTCAATAGAATTATTGTTAGACATGTATTTTTCTTCGCTTGATGATTCAGTTGTTAATAGATTATGATTATTGTCATCTTTGTTAGGACTAGTATCATTGCCATCATCAGCATTATTGACGTGTTCATCTTCTTTTGCATCGTGTAATTTTATTTTACAGTTGGTAGAATACTGTTGTTGATCATTAAATTCATTTGCATTTTTGATCAATCCGGCTTGACATTGATAATGATGCAATTCATAAAATTCCTGACAATCATTAATTGAATACATTTCTTTTGGAAAATAATTAGTTCCATAAAATACCTTCAATAAATGGATGAGTTAAAAAAAAATAACAGAGATAATTTGAATTTTTACCAGAAATTAAATAAGATTTAACAACAATTATTAATTAATTATTATTCGTAACGGTCAGTTTAATACTAATTTTAAAGTTATCGATCGACCAGTTTTTTTTTAAAATGAAATACATTTCACTGTGGATTTTGTTGTGTAAATGAATATTTATCTATGGTCTTACATCGGTGGATATGTACCAATCCATAGTTTTGTTTATCACAATCATGATAAAATATCACTGTTAACACTTTTTCAAGTCCTTAAGTTCTGGTGAATAAAAAGAGTGATTAGTGTAGAAAGCGAGGATAGAGTTCCAGAGAAAAATGATAGTATCATTGTAAACGTTATCAATGTAGAGCAACTAGAGTGTGGTGTGAAAATTGACACATCCGCCTATTTGAAATCATGAATCCATCATTAATAGATCACCATTAGAAACCTGAAAATACTGGACAACTGTTACGTTCTAGTATGACAAGCCGTGACCAGCGGGGTTCAACGCTGTCAAGTGTAGGCAGTTACTACCGAAGAAAGTTGGTGAGGGTGAGCAAAACCTTAGATTGACCAAACGTTTGACACTAACACAGTTGAATGCCAACTAAACGGTCTAGAGGTTAGACCGAAGGTCCTAGATTTGATTTCCGCGAGCGGGCGTGGTGCACGTGGACTGCTGATGAGTCCCATTCTAGAGCTTGATCCCATGCAGCGCTTCCATGTTTCTTATGGGGTTGTAACAATGACCGATTGATAAATTCAAATGAAGGGCAATAATCCTCATATTTATATGATGAAAATCTGCCTATCGTGATGCCTTTTACTCAATATGATACGATTATTAGAAGAAAAATATCTGAAAAATGATGCTCATAAATAGTTGATATACATCAGACTACTAACTGCTTTGGGCTTCGTCGTGTTGTGAAATGAAAATCATCTAATTGGGGAGGTTCATAGGAAGCAAGGGATAGAGAAGACAAGTCGGATAAAGTTGGACGACTTGAACAGATTTGAACAGATCATCTAGCCCTTCCTTTGCAAATGCAGCAACAAATTCAGGAGAAAAAGATCGGTGTAGCAGCAGTTTCTGCATCAAAGGGTCTCAACATACACAGAAGGAACAGCAAAATCTTCCAATACAACACAAAATACACCTACAAAATCACACTTGACGGAGAAGCTTCGGAAGATGTGGAAACCTTTACAAATCAGGACAGCATCATTGAACAGCAAAGTGGAAATGATGCATATGTGAAGGCATGGATTGGCAAAGTCAGGGCAGCATATCTACAATTGAAGAACATCAGAAATTCAAAACAACTATCAACCAACACCAAAGTCACGAATTTCTCAGTATGGATGTAGAGACATTAATGTTACATGGTGCGGAAACTTGGAAAACCCAGGAAGCTATTATTCACAAGATACAGATGTTTATTAACTGCTGTCTACGCAAAATACTCCTCATCCTTTGACCGGACACCGTCAGCAATGACCTACTGTGGGAAAGAACAAACCAGATTCCAGCTGAAGAAGAAATTAGGCAAAAGTGCTGGAGGTGGATAGGACACACGTGTTGAAATCATCCAACTGCATCATGAAGCAACCCCTAACTCAGAACCCTCAGGGCTAAAGGAAAAGATGAATATCGAAGAACACGTTTCGCCGAAAATCGGGAGCAGACATGAAAAGAATGAATAACATTTGATTAGAACTGGAAAGGAAGACCCAGGACAGAATTCGTTAAAGAATGCGTAAGTGTGTAAGAGGTTAGAAATTAGTGGTCGAAGATTTTAAATGAGGTATAATAATATAAATTGATCGGACTATGAATTTATTTCAAACATTGATCTCACTTGTAGCTCGTTTACCATCCGTTTCGATAAGTGACTATCTTTCATGATACAATCGTAAAGGCTAACTGAAAATTGTACTCTTTCATTTTTCAAGTAATCAATGACTAAACAGTATTCATATGAGAGAAAGATTCTGCCACTGATTTGTCAACCAATAATAAAACAACTCATCATGGATTCACTTTGACTACTTCTGTTCACTGTAACTTCAAGACTTCAAGACCACTGACATATCCTATAAAAATGTTCCATTGTTAACGTTATTTTTGCTTACTTACTTACGCCTGTTAGCCCCAATGGAGCATAGGCCGCCCACCAGTTTTCGCCAACCAACTCTGTCCTGGGCCTCCTCCTCTAGTTCTGTCCAATGTTTGTTCATTCCTCTCATATCTTTCTCTATTTCTCGGCGTAGTGTGTTTCTTGACCTTCCTCTTTTCCTTTTTCCTTGAGGTTTCCATGTGAGGGCTTGTCTCGTGACGCAGTTAGGTGCTTTTCGTAGTGTGTGTCCTATCCACTTCCACCGCTTCTCCCTGATTTCCTCCTCCACTGGAATCTGGTTTGTTCTCTCTCACAGTTCGTTGTTGCTGATCGTGTCTGGTCAACGAATCCGAAGTATTTTGCGTAGACAACTGTTAACAAACACTTGTTTCTTCTGAACGATGCCTTTCGTAGTTCTCCATGTTTCCGCTCCATACAGTAGAACTGTCTTGACATTTGTATTGAAAATCCTGATTTTGGTTTTGGTTGAAAGTTGTTTGGAGTTGCAGATATTTTCCAACTGTAGAAATGCAGCCTTCGCTTTGCCGATCCGCGCCCTCACATCTGCATCGGATCCACCTTTCTCGTCGATGATGCTGCCAAGATATGTAAAGGTGTTAACGTCATCCAAGGCATCTCCATCAAGAGTGATTTGGTTGGTGCATGTTGTGTTGCATCGGAGAATTTCGCTTTTTCCTTTATGTATGTTGAGACCTACTGCTGCAGAGACTGCTGCTACACTGGTCGTCTTCTCTTGCATTTGTTGTTGCGTGTGCGATAGAAGAGCCAGGTCATCTGCGAAGTCCAGATCGTCCAGCTGCGTCCTAACTGTCCAGTTGATACCGTGCTTCCCTCCAGATGTTGACGTCTTCATAATCCAGTCGATCACTAGGAGAAAGAGAAAAGGCGAGAGTAAGCAACCTTGCCTCACACCGGTCTTCACCTCGAAAGAGTCTGTCAGCTGACCTCCGTGCACGATTTTGCAGTTGAATCCATCATAAGAATTCCGTATGATGTTAACTATTTTCTCAGGCACACCATAGTGTCGAAGAAGCCTTCACAGTGTTTTCCTATCCACGCTATCGAATGCTTTCTCGTAGTCGATGAAGTTGATGTAGAGTGGTGAGTTCCATTCAATTGATTGTTCCACAATGATCCGTAATGTAGCAATTTAGTCAGTACGCGATTGATCCTTACGAAATCCGGCCTGTTGATCTCGAAGTTGGGCGTCTACGAAGTTCTTCATTCTGCTTAACAATACCCTGTTGAAGAATTTGCCTGGTATTGAAAGAAGAGTGATGCCACTGTAGTTCTCACACTTACTGAGATCTCCTTTCTTTGGTATTTTGATGAGGTATCCTTCTTTCCAATCTGATGGTACTTGTTCCTCATCCCAAATCTTCTTGAAGAGGATGTGGAATATTTTCGCAGTTGCTTCTACATCTGCTTTCATCACCTCTGCTGGAATGTTGTCTGGTCCTGCTGCTTTGCCGCTCTTGATTTGTCTGATGGCCGTACTGATCTCCTCAATCGTAGGTGCGCCAATATTAATTGGGAGGTCCGTGGATGCTGCTTCGATGTTGGGTGTGTTCAGTGGAGCTGGTCGATTCAGGAGTTCCTTAAAGTGCTCTACACACCTATTTCGCTGTTCTTCAGTGTTGCTGATTACTTTGTCTTCCTTGCATTTCACTGGTCGTTCTGGTTTACGATAGTTCCCGGCCAGCTTCTTTGTTGTTTCGTACAATTGTCTCAAGTTTCCGTCTATTGCAGCCTTTTCCGCCGTCGTTTCTTGATCATCCACATATTTTCATTTGTCAGCTCTGATTCTCTTCTTCACTTCCCTGTTTGCTTCTGTGTATGCAGCACGTGCGGTAACTTTCTCTGCTCTTGTTTGGCTAACATTGATTGCTGCCTTCTTGTTCCTCCTTTCTTCAATTTTTGCAAGAGTATCAACAGAGATCCATTCCTTATGATGGTGCTTCTTGTGACCCAGAACTTCTTGACATGTTGAAGTGATTGCCTCCTTAATCCCTTTCCAATTGTTCTCCAATGTTGTGTTCTCTTCATTGAGTAGATCCTGAAAGGCCTGGAACCTATTGGTGAGGGCTATCCTGAATTCGTTGAGCTTTACAGTATCCCGAAGAAATGCCGTATTAAACTTCTCTGATGTTGTCTGCCCCGTTGTCCAGTGCTTCTTTAGTTTCAGTTTCATTTTGGAGACCAGCAATAGGTGATATGATGCTATATCTGCTCCTCTCTTGGTTTTCACATCCTCCATGGTCCTTCTGAACGTTTTGTTGATACAGATATGGTCAATTTGGTTTTGAGTAGTGTGGTCCGGTGAAATCCATGTGGCTTTGTGAATGCGTTTGTGCGGAATATTGTGCTACCGATGACCAGTTTGTTGAAGGCACATAGGTTTGCAAATCTCTCACTGTTTTCGTTCCTTTCTCCCAGTCCATGTCGTCCCATGATGTCTTCATATCCAGAGTTGTCCATGCCAACCTTGGCATTCAGGTCTCCCATAAGAATCATCAAATCCTTTGGTGAGCACCTGTTGACAATTGTAGTCGTCATTGTAGTCGTTGGTAGGTGCATAGCATTGGATGACGTTCATTGTAATGTCCGCTTTATTTGTTTTGAAGGATGCTTTGATGATCCTCGGTCCATGAGATTCCCATCCTATCAGTGCCTTCTGTGCATGTTTGGACAGCATCAGTGCAACTCCTTGTGTATGTGAAGCATTTTCCTCTTCATGACCAGAGTATAACAGCAGTTCCCCTGAAGCTAGTCTCAGTTGTCCTGCCTGTGTCCAATGCGTTTCACTGATGCCGAGCACCTCGAGGTTGTATCTTTTCATTTCTGCAACAACTTGAAATAGTCTTCCAGTCTCCCACAATGTACGAACGTTTCATGTACCTAAAAAAATGGTTGCTCTGGTTGTCAGAAGAGGCATCAGCCCCGTGACTTCCGAGGGAACTTGACTTTCATCACGAGACGTCATAATTCTTCTTCCAACTCCCAGGACAGAGTTAAAATTGTTTGAATTAGTTTTTCTGGTTAGCCGGGCCTGGGACCGGCAGAAGCTCCGAAGGTTCTACTGGCGGAATTGTTATTTTGCTACTGAAAAGTTATTCAGTAGTAAACTGTTCCCAACAAAAGTTTTTAAGTTGACAGGATGAAATATTCTATTAGCTAATGAGAAATAAGAAAGTATTGAATACTGAACTAATCACCATTGTGCTTCAACTCTAACTCGAAACCTTCAGGTCTCGTTTAGTAAGTAGCCATCCAAAAGTGTAAATGTATTCTGATTGATTTTTGATACCATACGATCATCCTTCATTTTCTGTAAAATGGATAACTATCAAAATATACATGATGATAATTCTTTAACAGAAGACCTCAAAACTAAAAGTTGATCCTGAAAGCTATCCAGCAGTTCCTAGGTTGCTTTAGTTGTCTAACAGAAATTAATCTATTATTTAATCAATAATATTCGAAAATATATGCTAACTCCCCAATATTAGTTATAATTATCAGGTTAGACTATTTTTTTTTATCAAACGATTCAATTTAATAGGAAGTAAATCGTTTAAAAATTTGTCATACAAATCGATAACATACTTTATCTAATGCCCAATCTTTTGATAAGAATTCTTGTAAATGTACCACGGATCGTTTGTTTTCATTTTCCTGTTCAGATACATCACGTAAAAACATTTGAATTAAGCATAAAGTTTGTTGTCTTTCATGTGTCATTAAACAGATTGTAGAATGTGAAACAACCTCATATAAAATCTAAAAGACACAGAAATAAAAAATTAGTTATGAATAAGTTTTATATCAAAATTTACATCTTAGTAGAACAAGTAAAATAGTTCCATGTAAATAGTATGCATACAATTATGTGGAGATCCTATGGCTTGGCCTCATCCTTTGGACAAATTGATCAATTCGTTCTACTCGAGTCATTATTCATACATCTTTCGACCTAGGCAATTATTCGCTCATATACATGTTTGTTCTTACTTGAGTGCATATGTGCATTGCTTACTTTGCATACCACATGTCTTGCTTACTTTTATCTGACTATAAATAATTGGTCATACTTCATTGCATCGAGTTGGGTAACTATCCATCGCACAATCGTATTTCGCCAAAGTATGATCTAAGGAAATTAAAGGGGAGATCTATTTCATAGCATACTCGAACGTTCGTCCAAACTGGAGTCAGATATCGAGCCATTAAAATTTGTTTCTATTAACAAAGATGGATTATGTCTGATCAATCTCTTTCGATATATGTATATCCTGTACTGATTTGCTCAATAGATCCATTACGTCATAAGCATTTTTAAACAAAGACATATGATGGAGTTCAGAACTCACATCTCATTCTGTTTGAGACTTGTTATTTAAATGTACATGAATCTGAAATTTGATGTTCACTCCAAGACTCGGACTCATCATCATCAGCTTTAGACGTCATTGTGTTATCTACTGAGTTCAGATGGCTGTGAGTTTTGAATGTTATATACGCTCGTTGTTCGGATCTTCTCGCTGATGTTTAGAATTGCAATCGGTCAATTGAGAAGCTAATTATGACAAAGTACAAAACCAACAACCACAGTTTCTTTTTTATCCTTACATTTAAGTTTTATAGGAATATAATATGATGATGTTTACATCCAGTCAATATATTTATAATCTGAGATTTAAATGAAGTTTATGGGTGTCTATTAGTCTGAAAGAAAAGTAATTTATTCAATAATAAAAATATAAACAAATCAGCAATATTCCTGTAGATAAAGTATCACTCACATTATTATTTTAACAACTTAGCAATGATAAAATAAAATTGAGAAAGTAATTTGTCATTATCTCTTGAAGATTAATAAATGAATTATGTAAAGTTTCATACATCACTTCAATGAAAACACAGGCAACATATTTCAATAAAAATCACAAATCATAAATTCAAAAACATTTACAGATTAAGTGGATTAGAGATAGACATAAGATGTAGAATCCAAAGTTCATCCTTACTCTGACTTGTTAGTTACATAAATATTTGTATCTCAGTATGTTGAAATCCACACTAGGAACCCAATCTATTACTTTTTACTTTAAAGCCTCAGTGGATTATCCACTGGGCTACTTTATTCAGATCAGTACTAAATTTTTCAATGGTTTTGATGATTTTATTATATAATTAAATGATTCTTAATAAGGGTTGATGAAAAAGCATCTATTCATTTTAACAAAAGATACATTTCATTATTGTTATTAATATTGATAATTTAATTATTATTGCCACGATATATTACTATATACTTATTCATAAGTTATTCTTGAGTCGTGATACAACGGCAAGAAATACAACAAAAAAACAACCAATTTAGAAAATAAATAGAAAATAAATAAAATAAAATTATCATTGAAATTATAAACCCGTCAGAATCAAATAACCATTAAAAACTTCATCGTGGTAAGAAACTCCTAAGGTGTGTGTACACACAATACAGAGAGCAGGAATCATGTCTTTACTAGTGAGTAGCTTCGTGAGGCAATTTTCGGAGTCCTAGTGAGAAACAAGCTAAACAGTATTATGTGTGAGGAAGGTATTCACTGAAGACAGTGGATGATGAACTGGCGAAATCATGCGTTTAATGAAATGAGACTTGCATACCAATGAATTCTGACTCGGCGCTATAAATGTTAGGCTATGGCGAGCTAACGTGAAGATCCAAAGTTCAATTCCGGTTCATCCAATGCTTCTAGGCTGACAACGTTTATCTAACTTTGAACATTTTATTTAGGTTCAATGTTATATTTAGTGCAATATTTAGTGAAATAGACTGGAAAAATGTATAAATGTTTGTATGCCATTAATGTCTAATTCATGATTTCAACGTAAAAAAACAGTCTACATAAATCTATCCCTGAAAACCTAATATACTTGTTACTATCGTTTATATGTTGATTATTAAAATTTAATTAATTAATTAAAATGAACGATGACTTCGTTGAGGAATTTATCAACATTCAGATTAATTAATAGTTATTATTGTATACATGCACAGTTGTCAGCTAATTGACGAAATATGTGCCCATACTCTTCAATCATCAATTGACATTCTGAGCAGATTATTGACTGTCTTCTCTCACATCTCTTCTAGTCTTTAAGATAAACTGATCATGCAATGCATTTTGATTTTTAGAGACTCCTGCCTCTAGGTAACGACTAGATGACGCTTCACCGCATACTACTTATATACTACTTGTGAGTAGTGTCGACTACACCAAGATATCTAATTCAACCTATCATAATAAATTTATGTTGAGGAATTATTTGGATAAAGCTTGTTTTATTTAATTTATTGCCAACTTATTTGATATATCATGAGCTAAGTAAAATATTTTATTTGAATTAAACAGCATATAGTTTGAACTGTTTTTATAGCTGGCAGCATAAGCACTATTCATGTATCCCTTTTGGTATTTAGGTAAAGCAAAAATTTCGGCAGACTATCTTTATAAATTAATGTCACGTTTAATGTATTTTATTGTTTGTATCTAAATCAATATTCAATAAAAATAATCGTATACAATTGAAATAAACATTATTCTTCGATCTTCCAACTCTTTATACTAATGTTGACATTAGTTTAAAATCAATTCACATAATTTTATAATTTGATTTTATTCTGCTATTTTTAAATGATCAACGTGTAGGATAGTATTTTTTTTTCTTAAAAAAATTTCTAATATTACACTATATAATTTTTAAGACCAATTGTAAGCGAAGATCATGCACAAAGCAAACAAAAGTGGAAATGAATATTTCTAGTGAAAAGAAAAAAAACAAAACAAAACAATAACTTTAAAATGTATTTCATCATTAACATGTTCCGGCATTGATTACATTTGCCCACATATCAATACATATACTACAGATAATTCCTATGTCTGTTTTTAGGGGTTCAATTAGAATATATATTTGTATATAAATGTTTGAGCATGTCTATCGATCCATTATTCACTTGTGAATATGATTTTCTACCAGAAACATTGATTATGATTTGATTAAAAAAGAAAATTCATGTTATTTTTTTTATTCTACTCTGATAACTAAAATTAAAATATCACTATTCAAGAGTTTGATAATTGAAATCGGTAAAAATAAAAAATGTTTCTTCTTTTTTTTTGAATAAAAATAATGCCACGGAATATATTTTAGGTTTCTTTTTTTTACATGGTTATTTGAATATACTTTGTTTTTTCTCTTGAAACGCTGAAAGTGTTATTCACTGAGCTGATAAATTCACTCAATCACCAATCTAATTCATGAATTGAAATCTATATACATTCACTGACGACTTTGTATTTTCTTGCTGTTTATTTTAAGAATCGTATATTATCATTCAGGTTGATCATATTTAAATCGTTAATAATTAAAAAAAACTCAAATCCTCTTTCCTATGTGCCTATAAATTAATTCATTTCAATCAAGATTAAATTAGTTTAAATAATGAAAATTTAAACATTTACTTATATTTTTATTGCATTTAGTTACATTAAGATCATGAAACGATTAATGTTAGTCGATCATCATTAGAAACCTGGAAACATTGGATGGCCGTTTTATCCTAGTAGTATCGGATGGACTCATCAGCAGTGAACATTCACGACCCTTACTGACTGGAGTCGAACCTGAAACTTTCATTCTGGTGCATGAACGCTTAACTTACAGACCATTGATTCGGCATCCAACGGTGTTAGTAAGCAAAAAATTAAATTCCACAATTATTTGTTTACTAGCTAATTGTGATTATCAACAACAGGAGAAGAAAATTGTAAATTGTCATGTTATTATAAGATAAAGTTTCTACAAGTGTCAAAAACAAATGTATTTTAATTTTTACAAGACAATAATCACCTCATTAACATTTTGTTAGCTCTATACAATCATAAAATATGAATCTAAAAATGATCAAGTACACTAACTAACTAATTCATTATTATTTTTTTTCTTCTGATTCTTAATTTTTGTTTGATTAATTTCATCGCATTTTGATGATTTATTATTATTATTACTATTATTATTGTGGATCAATATATATGTATATTTTTTTTGTAAGATTTTAGGTTGTCCTGATAATTGGATGAATGAATATCAATTTTAGATTCTTGATCATTTTACAAAGCAATTCAAATATTGAATCTTCTCAATTTCACTTAATGATTTAAAGGCATTTTACTATTATTAATAAGAAATTTTGTAAAACATGAATTCAATCTGTGTAAGATATTGAGTGCATATTGCTAAACACTTCTAATGTCATTGAATTTAGTTTTTAGTGTTCTAGTCTAATATGAAACCTACTCACTGTACATCTCTTAATTTAGTCATTACTATATGCTCCATTTTAACTAACTTTTAATAGGATTCTTGAAATAATGGTAAGAAACTGCGAATGATAAAATTCAACTAAGCTGTCATTCTATCCATGGGAATGTACCTAATAATTGGTATACATTGGTATATATGTAGTAATAGATTTTATTTGAAAACAATTTCTTTCGCTACTTCTTCAGTTATTATTTTCATTATTTGTTGTCTTTTTCAAATGTAATACGATTTCTTTCTTCGGTATTATCAACAATTATTGTAAACTTCCTCAGTGTTTTAATTTTGATCAGTAATTAAAAAATGAACATAAACAATTAATGTTTATTAACATATAAAATAATCATTGCAGTATTCGTGATTGATACTTAAAAGTAACTCATAATTAA